GTTTACCTAAACAAAAGATTAGTACTTATTATATTTTTCTTAAGTTCTAAACTCGCCCAAGGTTGTTCATTATTATTTCAAAGATTTCGCACATGCGTTAATGCCGGTTTGTGAGTGATTATCTATCTTTCGCAAATTTCGGCATTTTGCAGGAGTTTCAGCCCGTACGGTAAGTCTTAACAGTGAATATAGGGTGGGGAGGCGACTGCATTGAGAAGAGTCGTCTTCTTCTCAATTACTTCCTGGGACTCGCATGTTCGCTTGTATTGGCAGGTGACTGCATTGTTAATGGACCGGAGACCTGTGAGACATGACTTAGAAACTTATCATAAACGACCACGCGCTTCACGTCGGAAACCATATGCGGCCTTCGAACTCACTCTTCCAGCGGATGAGTCACGAGAAGAAGTCTTCACCTAAACAAGCCTTTAATTTAACTTCACAATCCGGTGAAAGGCACAAGAGCCCACGAACTTCTGACAAAAAAGCAAATAAGTGGACAGATAGGCGACTAACCGAATACCTCCCTAGCGTCAATTGGTTCTCTTGCCTTGAAGGGAAAACCGGCGAATGTCGACGGGATGCGCTCAGCATCGGCTGCAAAAATAGTTGGATTCAAGTTATCCAGTACATCCATCGGAGCTAAAGCGGAGGAAGAAGGATGAATTGCCAGATGATAAGACGAATAATGGCCGGCTTTTCAATTTCCTCGGAAAGTAATACATTAATCTGAAGAAAATCGGCGTATTATAGTTTTTTTCTTAATTTTCCTCGGATATTGATTAGTAATTTGGGGCAGACCACTATCTTCGTCTACAGACGCGGGCCAAAATTCGACGTCAATATTTGGGTCGAGGTCCATCAGTCACAGCGGGATAACCACGTAATATTCACAAGCTGCCAATGAACAGTCAGTAGTATTACATACGTAAGTATTCACTGTATTCGCACCACAGGTACCAGAAAACACACAGGGAGTGTTGAGGGACCCACTGATGAGCCGGATCCTCGCCGCTGTGCTATGCGGCGGCAGAATATCGGCGAAACACGTGTCTGTGCCTTTAGCTAGTACCTGTGCTATAAGTGTGGTAAATAATTACGTAATTCTCGCATGCTGATTTCTCGTCTAAAGTAACGTTGAAGCTTTTTTACTTCCTCGGAAATGAATGCGCTTGCCCGAAGCCAGTCTCTCGAGAAGAAACTTTTTTAGTCTCAGTCCCAAAGAGGCTAAGAAGATTTCAGGACCGAACCCATCAAATTTAGCAAGACAACCGTGTAGTTGAGAAGAAGAAGACTCGATCGCTGGGACCGTGTAGTATCCACAGCCGGCTAACATACAGTCAGCAGTATGTGAGTGCTGCATGATTCGCCAGTCTGACATGGTGGGGGCACTGATGAGCCGAACCTCTCGCAACTGCGTTATGCGGCGACATAAAATCAGCGAAACACGCGCGTCTGGAATTTTGCTTATTGTCTGTGCTGTTGGTGGGGTGAAAATGCAACACGTATGTACTACTGAATATTCAGAGGTTGAAGTCGGTGGATGTCAAAGCAAAAGCCCACATATCGACTTTCGCACCAAACACGAAAATGTTTGTCCCGAATGATTTGCTCCAAGTTATAGCACGAATGATTACATCGGTTAGAAGTGGTCTAGTTTTCAAATTAGGTATTTAGGTGTGTGTGTGTGATAGAACCGACAGTCTACAATAAATAAGGTTACCGTCATATTTGTGGGAGATAAATTTCGAGGATGGCGCCGATTTCCTATACGGGGAGCAGGGCTGACTCGCTCGTGAACGCGATTAAGACGGGTAGGATTTGCGTGCCATCGACCTCTCAATACCCCTTCCTGCAGTCCAAGAGCTAGACTGAGTTAAAACGGCTGGAAATGAGCTAGAGACCACTAAATAGTCAGGCACTTATCCCTATTAGTTCGCATGACACACGTGGTGGCCAATAAACAAACTGAGAAGTGATCGCTTGACATTTCGAAATCCGTCGCGGATCCCTCATCAGAGACATTGGCAGAAACGGGTAATTCATGCACAGGCCGCCTTCTCACGCCACTTCGAGTTGCACACAGGCAATAATAAGGCGTCAGATAAGGAAACTAAAAGACCCACTGTCACGGCAAGAAGCATTGGGAGTCCTCTGTAGGATCTGGTGCAGTTACGGACAAAGCAACTATGTCGGAGAAACTGGAAGACTTCCCAAGACGGGAATTGTAGAACACGCGGCAGCAGTGCGGAGAGGTGACAATCGTGTCAGCCGCGAATTACTTGAGTCATGGTTCAGGGGCCCCAGTCTATAAACAAGTGCCACGACCTGCCCAATCCACATTCCGTGCTGAGGCTCAGTTTGGCCAAAACAAGTCGCCACTTGGGGAACGCACAGGCCAACGTGTCGTCTAACGTCAGCGCCAGGGAACCAGATGACCGAGAAATCACCACGTCCAATTCCAACACGTGATGAAAATTCGGCAGGTCACGGCCCGCATGCCGGTCACCAAGCCATTAGTGCATAAGCAGGCCATTATCCTGGATAGGGGAGTTGTTAATTGCCATAAGTATGCAGTCTATCCTATAAATACTGCAACTCCCTGTGCATGAATAACCGGTTTCTGCTAATGGCTCTGAATGAGGATCCGCGACGGATTTCAAAACGTCAGGCGAGCAAACGTCTTGTCCCAGCGATGACATTTTCTCAGCAATTACTTCCTGGGACTTGCATGTTCGCCTGTATTGGCAACTAGCCAAACTCCCCTCACTAGGTGAC